CCCCCTTTGCCTGCCGTGTGTCCCTGCGGGAAGGGGCCATCTTACCCACAATCATCCCAACCTCGCACCGGTGATCTTCGTAGTAGCAGGAGATCATTGTGGCCACCGTGTCGTTCACCATCGCCACCACGTCCATCTCGAAGTCCTGGGGAGGGGAGAGGGACCACTGGGGTCTCGCTGGGGGTCTGGGCTGTCCCGTAGCAGGTGGGTCTGGGGTGGGGTGTCCCCGAGGGTGAAGATGCATGCATATGTCACACACACACGTGTGCACATGCATGGAACGGCCCTTCCCGGGGACACGCCAGGCTCTAGCGGCCTCATCACGGGGACAGCCGGGGGTGCCAGGGTCTCCTCGCCACTGCAGTACCAGCACAAACCGAACAATCATCTCACCCCTCGCCGTTTGATGGCATCTCTCAGGAGCCCAACCACATTGTTCCCTTCCGCACCGGAGGCTTTGAAGCCCTTGGTCCAATTCAGAAGGATGCCCTGGAGCAAGGGTAAGACCAAAATGGGGCTGTGGGAGTAGCTGGGTCATGGAGACCCCCAAATCCTCGTGCTGCCCGGCCACTCTCTCACCTTGTCGATGTCCTCGTGCCGCACGGGGAAGGAGAAGGTGAAGCCCAGGGGCAGCTTTTTGTGCTTCATCTGGTGCTTGTCCAGGAAATCGGAGATGCACTCGGAGATGTAATCGAAGAGCTGGGAGAGAGGAGAACAGAGCCTTCATCCACGGCCGGCCACTGTCCCCACCACAGGTCCCCCGAGCCCCCCCCCCCTACCCCCCAGCCTCTGCCAGCTGGAGGGATGAGGGATGTACCCACCAGTGTCCCCACCAACACACGGCCCCTGCCCGGTGACAGAGACCGTGCAGGAGGGGATGGGACGCCCCATGTGCCCAGCTCACCATCTCGGCCGTCCCTGTCATGGCATCCTCTGGGATGGAGTACATCTGGTGCTTTGTCTTCACCTTCCACTGCCCTTCCTCCCCCTCGCCCACTTTCACCAGCATCACACGGAAATTGGTGCCGCCGAGGTCCAGTGACAGAAAATCTCCGACCTCTGCAAAGCCGGGGAGGGACGACAAAAGGTGACCGGCTCAGCGGGGGTCTCGGCCTCCCGCACCGAGCTCGGCAAGCTCCGGGGAAGAGGTGACGTGGCAAAGGACCGGCCGCAATGCCTGTCCAGCCCAGCAGTGCCATACCTGAGCCCTCGGGTGTGGAGCGGACGTAGGTGGGCAGCATTTTGACAGAGGCTTCCTCGTGCGTCTCCAGCTTCAGCCCTCGGTCCATCTCTTTTTGCATCCGGTACATCACCTTCTTCAGGTCCTCCTCCTTCAGCCGAAACTCTGACAGGATCTTCTCCACCTGCGGTGGGACGGACGGCATCAGTTGGGGATGGGGGATATGGGACATGGGTGGCCTGAATCGCAATAAATAATCCAAATTTTCCTTCCCCTGGCCCTGGTTTTCCCCATCAGCACACAGACACCCTGAAACACCTTATCCCATCCCTCTGCTATCCTGCCTCCATCCTAACAGACACACTGGTGAATCCACATGAATGGCACAAGCCGCCGCTGGCCCCAAATCCTCTCCTGCGAGGGGTCCCTGTGCTGTCACCTTCAGCCAGTTGACCTTCCACAAGCTCAGACAGTTGCACTGAAGCTGCTGCCATTCCAGGCTTGGACCAGTGACCTGGGATGTCCCATCCCACCAAACCCCAGGGTCTTTCCCAGCAAGGAGTGCTTCCAGCAATGCTATTTAGGAGGTCAGCGGCTCCCACCAAGGACGTGGGACCCCTCTGTGTCTGTGATGAGGGTGCTGGTGTCCTCCTCGGTCCCCTGGGAGTCGGGAGCATCCCTCTCCCTATATTCCCCCAGGAACTGTGGGTACTATTTTCCGCCCATCAGACTTGGTGTGAGTGGGAGGGCGAGGGCAGGCAGGACCGCAGGCAGGTTATGAAAAGTCTTCTCGGGAAATGCTCCCTTGCCTTGCTACCAGGGAGAATCGCAGGGCCCACTCGAGGGAAGCGCCTGGCAGGCAGGACCTGTGTTTACCCTTTACGTAGCAACCCCAGGCTTCGTGGCCGGCGCAGCCTCCATTAGCCACGGCACGTAATCGGGGGCAGGCAGCCCCAGGCTGTCAGATGGAGCCGTGGGGGGAGAGAGCACTCGCTGCTCGGCCAGATGTAGCCGGCAGCATTAGAGGGCTCATTAGTCACTGGGATCCGGGCAAGCTTAAAACGCTCCCGCTTGCACTTTTGCCAGCAGACGGATGTTTTCCTTGAGGCTGCTGCCGTTTCCCAACGTGTTTCAAGGTGGGGGGCTCTGTAAAAGGCTTTGGGATGTGGTTTGGAGCATCCCAGCATCGGGAGAGCATCCACTGCCTCAGCTCTGCCAAACCTGTGGCCGCTCGCCCTGACCCCCCAGTGCATCCTGATACATCACCTGGCCCTGAATGCCATCCCTCAGCCTCCAGCCCCCCAAATGGGGGCTCGTCCCAAATATTTCCTCGCTCCGAAAGTTCCTGCCCCACAGACCCCTCGCGCCTGGGCAGGTCTTAGCGACCGCCCACAGCCGGGTGGGATCCCGGCACCTTGACACCTCTCCAGCCATCCTCCCTGGTCCATCCTGGTGCTGAAGCCCAGGGTCTCCATTAACCCCAAACCCCCGAGGTGCCACCAGACAAGATGCCAAAACGTGGCTGCACCACAGAGGATGCCACCGTGCCGGGGAATGCCGCCGGCCACTCCAGAAGGGGGCCAGGACAGCCCAAGGCAGCACCGCGGAGAGGTTCGTCACGACCCAGAGGGTGTTCAGCCCAAGATAGTTGGAAAAATCCTGCCAGGAAAAGTGTGGAGCTGGATTCGACCATTTTGCCTGAGTTGCTGGCTGAAGGTATTCAGCATGAAACCATCCTGTGGCACCTTTTGGCACATGAACACCAAATTTGCTTCAACCAGAGGATCCCTGTCCACAGGGCCAGCACCTGAGGGTGGCACCTAAGGATCCGAGTTTTATTCCTCCAACGTTTTTTCCATCTCAGGCGTTGTGTGCCCCTACTCATCCCTTCTCTTGCCTCCGAAACAACAGGTTTGGCTCTTCCTTGGCAGCATTTGGCTCTTCGCGTGCGACTGAAACTGGCTCTTGGCTTCCCAAGGAAACTGCTCTGACACATCCCGCAAAGGGGACAAAGCTGGAAACCACGTGGCTGAAGGCTGCGGTGGCTGGCGGTTGCCCCCGCCAGCCGGACGCTCCTGCCCCCAGCACGTGCCGTGTCCCCTTGGTGCCCCCTCAGACATCCCAGTCCGCAGCAGGGAAGTGTCTCGCTGTCCTCGCCCACAGCCCTGTGAGGTCAGTCCGTCGGGCAGAGGAGACGGGAGCAGCTTCCCCCAGCCGGCCTTCGGCAGGGGGAG